ACTCTATGCCCTGGCAGCACTGCTAATGGCATCTTTCAGATTCAATGACTTACACAAACAACGTCGTTCTCTTCTGTCAACAACAATTAGCAATGCTTTTCTGTAGTTCTTTTGGGAAGCCTGAAAAGCAGACAACCAGTAGCTACATAATGGAAGTTGCATTAGGAGGCAAGAATGTGGCAAAAATCTGGTTAACTGTTGTCGGCTGACCCTCTTGTGTGAAGAAGTGTTGTTTGGCAGCAAAATCACCTTTTCTTTCGGTTCTAAAAATGGCCATGAACAGCTGGTATAAACTGTGTGCAGAATGGATTCTGGTGGGCTTAGGGGATTGGTAATGGGATAAGAGACCTTTCACCTTTAGGTCAGTAGTTCAAATTCGGCCCAGGTTAGCAGCAATTGAAAGTCTTTACCATCTGACACTGTTCGTTAGCCTATTTAAAAATGACTGAAGCAAAGTGTCACAGTAAAACAAGATTCCAGTATTAAGAAATATGAAAAGCCTCAGCAAACTGCAGAAACAGACACTTGAGACTTTACTTTGAAATCTCACCATTCAGACTTTGTAGAACTCTACTCCCCTAATTCCTGACAGCCCCTTTCACTGATCTCATACTCCTGCCCACCTATTACAAGTCATCCTCCAGGCAGCTATGCACACCAAGACAGCAAAACCACTGCTTGCTGTCCCATGGGTCTGCTACGGATACCAAAGTCACCACCTCTCTGTGGTTTTAGCTGGCAATCCAGACTCAGCTCATCAATTTGCTATTTGCATTTTGCTGCTACTGTTTACGTAGTGCAGCTGCAATATTTTCCAGCACTTCTCTCCTTCACTGAGCGAACAGGTAGCTGGTGCTGCCTAATGATGTGCAACAGAATACAGACACCATTAAGAGACTGTTAGAACCAGGAGTTTATAAGCAGTGGAGCTTCAGACAATCACCAACAGGATTTCTACATACTTTAGACATTTTCCAGTTATGCTTTTTACACTTTCATGACTGGACAAACAGACAAAAAGGGAGGCAGAAAAAGACACACGTTGCCTGTAAAAATTCTTCCTGACTTTTGCACTAGGCATGGTCAGTTTTGTACAAAGACAAAGCTCTGGAATATATCATTTTCCAGGGGTCAGTAAGATCCAATGAAAACATTGAAAGTGATGAACAAATCTTAACACCAAGTAATGTTTTATGGGTGTATGGAAGCTTATTTACATTCGCTTTGTGCCTTAGAATCAAGTTACTTTAAAAGATCTTGAAAACATTTACATAAAATAAATACTCTTGCTACAATTAACTGTAAAATAAAAACATAAAGATATGTCATTTGCTTTCAATAAATCTCTTACAAACACGTCAACAGAGTACTCTACAAAATTAACTTTTATTCCCTGAAAAGTTATGACAAAAATATTCAAACTGTCACATGAAAAAACACACTGCTACTCAAATTGCCATATATCTCAACTCCACTGTGCTGAATAGTCCATACAAATGATCTTCTCAATCAGATTACTCTAAGCAAATTTGGTCATGTTTTGAGGAGGAAGAGAGTGCTCGCTTGTTATTTAAATCACACAGGTCATGAGGGAGGCAGAAGGCTGGGAACAGACCTGAAACACAGATGTATAAACTGTATTCAGGGTAAGTGCTCTCTTCACACCGCTCATTGTACTCTTCTCAGCTCTTCTCAAGCCAACCAAGGACGCTTCTCATTTCAATGTACTACTAACTTCTAGAATATGTGATATTTTCCCTTTGCTGTCAGTAACTGATTCACACGTAAGGAGCTTAGCTACACCGCACACCCATATATTAACAGATATTCTTTATGTACAGCCTGTAGACTCTCTTCCTATAAAATCAAAGAGGAACATTTCTAATCTTCCAGTGAAAAACAGAAGAGACTTTTCTGGCGAAAGCAAGCATTTCTGATGGTAGCGTGGTAAGGAGATTTTGGCACAATTTGTAAGTTAGAAAGGCTGTCAATCTAAGGGGTCAGAAACTTCTCATTTATTTCAAAGCTCTTGTTTGGCTATTCTGGACCACGATTAGGCTGATGATAACTAGGTAACACAAAGCACACCACAGCGTGAGCAGCTATAAAGAATCAGATATTCAACATCTGGTCTGTCTCAACAATCTTAACAGCAGTAGCTGCCTGAAAACCACTCCAAAAGTGCCCTAAATGACAACTTATGGAAGTTCTCTTGTAGGTACCAGGGCAGACATTTCTAAGTTTTCTTGCAGAAAGTAATAATAACTAGTTTTGCTATCCAATTACCAAATCTCATGTCTCATACTTATCAGCTTGCCTCTGAAAGATGGCAGAAAAGCAGATACAACAAAAAGAACATTGCCAACAGCAAAGAATAAATCATTCTAGCTGATTCACTTGGAGGGAGTGAAACATCTGTAACAGATTTGTGTAGCATACAAGAGACACAATGGAGCTGATTCACCAACTTTTCCACTTTCCAACCTCATATTGTATTGCAGCAACACTTAACACAAGAATTAAGTAAAACATAAACTTCCTGTAAGGTGCTATTTATACTTTTTTGCAGGACTATATAGCAGAAAAGGTATATTCCCAAAGAGTTCCTCAAAAAGACAGGCAAGTAATAATACAACTCTCAATTACAGCAAAATAATTTACAAAAGACACTGGAAGATATCTGACAGGTACAGCAAAGGGAGGGAGGGAAGAAACAGGCAGTGCAAGGTATTGGACATGGTTTAGTCAGCTTTACACAAGTATATTCTGAAGTCTGTATCTAAAGTAAAAAGGCTACAGTCACCTGATTAGAGACTGCTGAAACACTAAAACAGACATAGGAAATTGTATAATTTAGTAAACAGGTTCTGATGATGCCGACAGGTAGCCATGTCCATGATGCACACAAAGACCTTAGGAGTATCATTTGTGGATCAGATGCCCACCATATGGGAAAGTTCTTCCAACTGTGGAGCATTTAGCAAAAACAGGGCAAGTAAGCCTGTTAGCCACTCCTCACGGTCAGGACAAGCAAAAGGGAAAAAAGGCTGAAGCAATACAGGGACATCTGGAGATTCTCCCAGTTCTGAAGTTAAATCTGGACAAGCTTCATTAGAGCTTCTATGTTTCGCTCTTAATAGAAGGGAGCAAGTGTGAGATGTTAGTTGCATAACTGTTGGCTGAACAGAAAGTAAACCTTGAGACCTGAGAGAAGCAGCAGATCAATTGGGTAAGCCTGGGGAAGAATCAGAGAAAATTACTACTCTCCAACCTGAAGGTGAAATGCTAATTAGAGACAATACACCGTCAGGATAGAAGAATTAGAGAATATCTACACAAGTACTATAATTTAAGATTAGTAAATTTCTTTAAGAGTTGGAAAGAATGAGTCTGCTATTATAGGGGATTGTCAAACTGCTTAGGCTGTATTTCAAAAGGAGCCCTTAAAGATGGAATTGTGAAAGCTTTCTTACTGCACATGTGGAGACCTCTATGATTAAGCAAGTTTGAGGTTTGGGACTTTAAACACTTACCACTAGGCACTGCAGAGGAGAAGACACCACAAAACAGCAAAGACAACATTTTAAAAACAAATTGCAAAAAAAAAAAAAAAATCAACTCCAAGGATACTCCATCGCTAATTCCATTTAGGCACTGATGGATGATAATGTGCTACAACAAGGAAAAGGTTTTGAACTTCTGATGGGTTATGCAGAAAACCACAAACTAGTTTTCTTCTATGTAAACAAGAACATGGAGAGTCACTAAAAAATATTCTCTCCAAAACTACAAGATTGGGCACAGTGTAAAGAATATGACCAGAAAGACAGAAATTCTTCATAGTATTTTAATGAACATTGCCACTAACCACCACCCTCTCTAACTGAATCTAAGGTAGACCAGATTGTGCCTAGCAAACGCATTTGAAGTATCACTGCCATGACTAATTCCAAAGACACTGCTGCCCTCGCAAGGCAAGGCAAACGTTACCAGCAACCTCTCCTTGGCACAAGGGAAGATTACAACACCCCCAAACACTCTCTCACTTCTTGACCCAAAGCATAAATTTACCCAACTGTTACACAAAGTCATGCAAAGATGTTTGAAATACCAAGATCTCGTTATGCTCTATCACTGCCCACATGTACAAGCAACAGGCGGGACATAGCCCTAATGAAATGTAGCTAAAACAGAATAAGCAGCTAATCACTCTGTTGCTTGATTCCACATTTCAGTCTTTCTGACGTTATTTAATGAATTAAGAAAAGGAGGATAAAGACAACGGAATTTACTTGCTTAGAAGTCAAACTTTCTTCCCATCTTTGAGAATGATATCCAGACTTCAAGTTATGCACCTGTTTTCTTAGATTATGACCAGACATGCATTGTAACAGTCAAATAAGAGGTAGAGGGGGTTTTCCATAAAACACTGTCCATTCATTTGCTCTGCACATTATTATATCTACTACTGACTACAACAGTTGTTAGAAAAATCCAACACCATGTCAGCATGCTTTTTACACACTTGCATTCCAGTCACAATTTGAATCATACGCAGACTGCTACTGTTTTTATTGCTGATACACACATACAGCTTCAATCACCCTCCTAGAGAAACTCAGGAAGTGATCAAAGTATAAAAAATAAAAAAGAAACTTCATGAACCAGTGGGGAAAAGCATCAGAACACAGGGGCTAGCCACTTATTGTGAACTCACAGTGGCACTTAACAGCGATCTCTTGCAAGGTCTTTAGGTCAAGTGTAACAAAGAGCAAATGCTCCGAATGCTTACTTGAGTGCTGTGCCAGAGCTCACTGCTGCAAGGCCTTGTATACACAGGCTTATTTGAACAGATCTTTTAAGTTCAGTGGTAAGTGCTCATATGCGTCAAGTTAGTTATGTTTAAGTCTTTGCAGGAGCAGACCCCTAAGTATGGAAGAAGGTTATGTTCTGTTTCTTTAAATAACACCTTCCTGAATCCGAAGAGCTGTTTTTCTTACCTGAAGTCTAGTATTCATTTCCAAGAAGTAGAAATTCTTACTGGAGTCCACAAGGAATTCTACTGTTCCAGCAGAGGAATATCTTACTGCTTTGGCAAGAGCTACTGCTTGTTCTCCCATTGCTCTTCGAGTTTCAGGGTCTAGAAAAGTGCTACAATACAGAAACAACGCCTGTCTTTAGTTAAAAAATAATAAGAATAACAATGGAATCACTTCATCTTCTGCTTAAACTACCACCAAAAGAGGACAGCACCATTATTCAAGTTATGAAAACATGTCAAGACTGTTAAATGTATGACTTTACATTTATATTGCTCCTAAAGAGATATACTGCATGCTTTGCAATTACTGATAATGTACAGGAAATTCAGGATAAATAACAGTATTCTCCAAAATGTAAAATAACAGAACGCAACTTTTTTAGAACACTGAGATCTATAACAATGCAAGTTAAATGAAAATAAATACATACAAATCCACAATATTTTAGAAGGCTTATCTAACTGCAAAAAAACCCTGTAACTAAAAAAATTCCATCCAATGGAAAAATGAATGCCAAAATACAAGACAGGATGTCTAAGGGGAATTGGTTTTCTGAATTAAAACAGTGTGGCCATTTTATTGATATTCTATGCAATGAAGAAGTTTTGGAAATTAATTAAGTATTTATTTGGTCGTCTTATATGAGTAAGATTGCAGTGAAAAGTATTTGGGCATTCGTATTATTTAAAACACCATCAACACTATCATGACTTCAATCTTTGTATCCTACATTCATCTCTCAGCTCTACTGGTAAGCTGAAGGCTAGTTATCCATGTTTGTCAATTGCAATTCATTCCTTTCCACAAATCCTGGACACACTCAAGGGCACCCAAAGAGCAGATCAGCTACCACTTGGGAGCCACTGTGAACACCACCCAAATGCCAAGCCTTCTCATTCTAGGAGAGCAACATGCCACTTCCACCGGTCCAGCGAATTGAAAGACTTGGGAAGGTACATATTCTGCTTGTTACTCTCTTCTGTACTGCAAATTCAGATTTAGATTAACCTATGCAGATGGCCAATTTAGAGCTAGAGAAATTTCTGTGTCTTTCCATCCAAGTTGTGAAACTAGTTGCCCCTCACCCTGATACACTGACTTTCAATGAAAGACAACATGAAGCTGTTCGTCTTACATAAGCTTATAAATATGCTCATTATAGTTCTGTGGTGATTTACATTAGGCACATAACTCAGCCACCATTTTTAAAGTACTTTCATAAGGGAATATGAAGTCACTTCTACCTTACCTCTAAGTTATCATTTAAAACTAAAATACCAAATGCTATATATTTCTTGAGGTATCTTGAACAGTGGGTCCTAATTCTGCAAAGGAGCAATCAAAAGCCTCCACATATCTGAAGTGGCCCCATCAAAGTCAGTGAAGCTCCATCTGTGGCCCACGACTGCACTCAGAGGGAAGCCAGTGCTGGGTCAGGACTCATCTTTCAGTACTTACTATGCTGTTTTTCACTGAGACCTGAACTCACTGAAAAGCTAGACACCTGCCACAACAAATAATATTTGACATGAGATAAAAAGTGAGGAAGTATCTAAGCAAGCTAGGAGACAATGGAATCCTTTTTACATCACAGAAAAAGTGCTACTTAGCAGCTCCGTCCTTCCAGTGCCCACACGGGCAGATTCTGATGGACAATAAGGCAGGCATTTTCAGAATTTAGGGAAAAATTTCTTTCTTGGCAAACAACAGGATCAACAGGAAAAGAAAGTCAAGTCTGATCCCAAGAAAGCTATCAGATCCTACACCAGATCAGAAAAAACAGAAGATGTGCAAAACTGCGTTGTACCTATCGAAAATAGGCACTGATAATGTAAAAGAGTTTCATAATATTTCTTATTTTGATTCAATAAGAGGACAATACATCACACAAAGTCAACAATCTATAATTCACTTTGGGGTTTCTATAGGGCTTTGATCACAAAAGGTCAATGAGTGGCTTACGAAGAACAGAACCTTTCGAATATCAGCTTCATATTCTATTTCTAGAATAACCATTATTACTTCTCATACAGATAAAAGACAGTTACTCCCCTTTATTACAGTGGTGTCTTTGCCATGTTTGTTAAATGTAGGTCTGAGATCTCTCTGTTCACCTCCTGCTGTAGCCAGAGAATGGAACAGAGGTGTCACACTGCTAAACTTGATCTCTGCCACGTGGTTAAGCTTTATGCTCTAAAACGACTGGATCATCCCTGCAGTCAGCTAGGTTAATTAACCAAAGTTTTCCTGTTCCCCTCTGCTGCTTTACCTTTCATATACATCATTTCACCCTTCTTTAATAATGCATCTTTTACAACCAAAATAACTCTTCCCCAATCTAATAAGGCATCACTTGAAAACACAGCATTTTAAACCTGACTTTAAACCTTTTTGGCACACATATACCTGTTTTCCTTTCGACCAAATAGCTCCCATGGCAGCATGAAGGCTGCAAAATAAAAAGGATTCACACGATAAAAGAAAAAAATAAGATCAGACCTGACATTTCACTCATAAGACCTTCTTCAAGCTATTGTAAAGTTGACCAAAGACAACGCAACTGGTTTATGCCATTGTTTCTACAGCCAGAGAGACGAACCACATGGGCAAGATGTTACTTCTCCATTTCTAGGTCATCAGACGTTTCCCAAAATACCTCCATCACCTTCACTCTGATAGGGTTGAGCTTTTGAAATGTACAGACAGTTACACCATCAGTGGAAATTTACTGCTCAGCTTTTTTTCAAAAGAAAAAAAAAAAATCATCAATACCATTTACCTTTCCTCTGAAGATACCACGACACTGGGAGAGAACAGTAACTTCATTTCCTACATGCCAAGTTCAGCTTACCTGCTCTTAGGAAATAGGTAGGCATACTATTTGTTTAAAAAAAATTACTTAGCTACAAAAAACACTCTCCTTTGAGATATCTATTAGGCAGGTATAAATATGCTAAACTATTTGAGAACACAATTTTGCCCCCACGTCTGTACTGTGCCCACCTATGAATCACGTACACAGTCACAAACAAAACAGGCTGGCTGTTTCTCTTAACTCCAAATCCTTCAAGAATTTCTAGACAGACTGATAGGAAATGTAGGATCTGATACACGTACATGCAGCATAACTCTAAGGAGAACTTGTACACTGAGTCTAGTGCAGTAATATACCGTTCTGCTAAGGTCTTGACTATATATATTCATTCAAATTGTCGGTGGCTTCAAGTAGCACCTTGGCAGTTAACCCGGAATATGACCCTGAAGTACCTGGCATCATACTGAGATATTTCAGAGAGCGCTTATACTTGGAGAAAGTGAAAGAAGCTGCTGTCTGTGCACCTTCCAAGGACAGAAACATTCCTGAGAGAAGCTAACAATGGAGCATGCAAAAAAGGTCACAAAAATAGTTTAACAGTTTGACTTGCATTCTAATACAGGCACTTACTGGTAAAATAGCCTCCCTTTTAAATCTCCTGCCTCTTAGATCTTTCTGTCACAGACAGAAATAGAAAGAAACATTTTTGTCCTTTGAACTTAAACTGAAAGACCATCTTTCAATTTAAAAAGACACTACAAAACTAACATCTAGGATAGATAAGGCAATATTAACTCTGAAAGCACGCAGTAGGAAGAAAGAAAGAAAAAAAACATAATAAATTATTTCCTGCCTGAGATTAAGTCAGGGAAATTTACGGAAACTGTTGAGAGACTGTCCTAAGAACCACCTTATTCTGAAAATCTTCGATGCTAATGTTTAATCCAAGGGACATGGAATCACTGGAGAAAAGCAGAGACAACAAAGGAGAAATAAGCAGGCAGCTAGAAAGTTCTAAGGACTTGCTCACTGTGGATGCTAATATGGATCTTGCATGCTTAGTACAGAACACAATGGCAGGGTGCTGTTCCATCATTACTTGTCCAGAAAAGGCCTGAAATTGTACAGAGAAGGCTTAACACTCAGTGTCCTGAAGCTGAGTATTTTGATAGAACGAGAGGAAACGGCCTCAAGTTGCACCAGGGCAGGTTTAGATTGGACGTTAGGAAGAATTTCTTCACTGAAAGGGTTGTCAAGCACTGGAACAGGCTGACCAGGGAAGTGATTGAGTCACCATCCCTGGAGGTATTTAGAGACACGTAGATGTGGTGCTGAGCGACATGGTTTAGTGGTGGACTTGGCAGTGTTCGGTTTATGGTTGGACTCAATGATCCTAAGGGTCCTTTCCAAGCTAAATGATTCCATGATTCTAAATTGTATTCCATGGAGGATCAAACAGTTAATCTCTTTGACTGCTACAGCAAGGGGTAGTGCTGGATGGTCACAGTGAGTGGAAAGGCCTTTGTGTGGCACATTCCAAAATCTTAACTTTGGGCATCAAATAGTACAGATAGCCAAATGCCTCTGCGCACCTGGACATTCCTTCACCCAAGTGGTGAGGCAAAAGTTAAAAAAAGCTTCTAACAGATTCTGAAACGGTTAGACAGGACACTTGCTCTCACCAAAGTGAAGCTGAAGAGCACTCCTTTGAGCTCCAGTTATTGAATAGAAGTCAGCCAAGACTCTTGTGTATTTACTTTCCATTGATCCATTTACTTTAGATCGATCCTGAAGAATAAAGGAGAAAAAAAGGACAGTACATTTCCTCCACCCAGCCATACAACAAAAGGTGTTTCCAGGAGTCATTAACAAATGAGACTAACTAAAACAGCATTCATAGGAAGGGCTAACTTCAGGCTTTAGAGTGTCTACAGTGCCTGACAGAAGTTAGTACCCAGCTTATCTGTAACAGTCTTGTAACCGCTTGTAAATAAATGGATTTTGCAGCCAACTGCAAGGGGCTGTGAGACAGATAAGGCTTCCAAAGCTGTCAATAAAAGTCTGGCAGAGTCTAAAACATTCAACAAGAAGAAGAAAGAGGAGTTTTCACCCCAAATTTTGAAAGTTATTGACTAGCCCACACTCTTCTTGAGCTATAGGGAGGGATGAGAAAACTTACTGGTGACTCTAACAGAGAATCACACAATCACACAATGACAGGGGCTGGAAGGGACGCCCAAGAAAGTTAAAAAGCTGGTATTTCTGATGAAAGAAAGTACTCTGATCACAATTGTCTGGTGAGAGAAAGACATATCACTCCTTTTAACTGACCACTCACATGGAGAATGAGCAGACATTAGCAGCAAGCAGCACCTTACACGTACTCCACAGGCAAAAGACTCTCCTCTAAAGTGCTCAGCATATGTATATGCACAGACACAGTATAGGGGGACCTAAGTATTCACATTTCACAAATGAAACCATAGAATTATAGAATCATTAGGTTGGAAGAGACCTCTAAGATCATCAAGTCCAACCACCTACCTAATACCCCCATGCCCACTAAACCATGTCTGCAAGAGCTACATCAACATGTCTTTTGAACACCTCCAGGGACAATGACACCACCACTTCCCTGGGCAGCCTGGTCCAATGCTTGACCACTCCCTCACTAAAGAAACTTTTCCGAATGTCCAATCTAAACCTCCTCTTGCACATCTTGAGGCCATTTCTTCTCATCCTATCGCATGCTACTTGGGAGAAGAGACCACCTCCTACCTCACTACAACCTCCTTTCAGGTAGTTGTAGAGAGTGATAAGGTCTCCCCTCCTCAGCCTCCTCTTCTCCAGACTAAACAACCCCAGTTCCCTCAGACACTCCTCATAAAACCTGTTCTCCAGGCCCTTCACCAGCTTTGTTGCCCTTCTCTGGACACCCTCCAGCACCTCAATGTCCTTCTTGGAGTGAGGGGCCCAAAACTGCACAAAGGATTCGAGGTGTGGCCTCACCAGTGCCGAGTACAGGGGCACCATCACTTCCCAACTCCTGCTGGCCACACTATTGCTGATACAGGCCAGGATGCTGTTTGGCCTTCTTGGCCACCTGGGCACACTGTCGGCTCATGTTCAATCGGCTGTCGACTAGCACCCCCAGGTCCTTTTTTTGCCTGGCAGCTTTCCAGCCTCTCATCCCCTTCCTGATAAGACCGACCAACTCATATGCGAGAATCCTTTTCCCCGAACTCCGTCTGTCACCAGCAGGGCTGGTACCATGCAAACCTCCCCATGACCATAAAACCCAAAATTACACTGATGACACCAGCCTCTGAGCCACATGTTAATCAGGTGTGTTTTCCTGTTCCTTTCAGTGTTCTTCCCTGACACTGAAGGGATTGAGGAAAACACGACCTCTGCTCCTGATCCTTCGAGCAATCACCCCAGTGCCCTGAAGTCACTTTTGATCAAC